TGAGTTACGTATAGCTTCGTACGCAAAGGCCTTTTGGCAGTCTAGAAATATGCAGACCAGACCACACACTAGAAGTTGAAGGGACGACGACGTTTCGGTCCGTCCTGGACCATTCTTAAGAGAATGGTCCAGGACGGACGGAAACGTCGTCGTCCCTTCAACTTCTAGTGTGTGGTCTGGTCAACATACTCCAGCCACGTTATTGTGACTCATCGCCTGCACCTAGAAATATGCAGTTTGCCCAGCCTTCTCTGTCCTGCCTTATCCTTCTTATTTTATCATAAAATTCCAAAAGGTTTGTTAGGCAAGATTTCCCTTTCCAGAACCCATGTTGATGTTTGTTTACATACCAAACTTATCCTAATTATTCTTTCAAGTATTTTACAGGGGATGCTCGTCAGTGATACAGGTCTGTAGTTAAGTGCCTCCTCCCTATCCCCTTTTTTTGCAAATCGGTACGACATTTGCCCTCTTCCAGCAACTGGGCATTCTCCCGACATAAGTGACTCATTAAAGATCATTGCCAGAGGCACGCTAAGGGCCTGCGTTGCCTCTTTTAGTATCCACGGTGATACTCTGTCTGGTCCAACCGCTTTAGTTGCATTCAGTGTTGTCAACTGTTTCATTACCTCCTCTGCTGTTACCTTTATATCTGATAGTCTTTCATTTAGGGTAATCCCTTCTAACAATGGGAGCTGCTCAGGCTCGGTTGTGAACACTCCATGGAAACTGGCATTCAGTGCCTCGCAGATTTCCTTGTCACTTTCAGTATATGCCTCTTCTGTATTCCTTAGTCTTGTCACTTGGTCGTTCACCGACATTTTTCTTCTTACATGGCTTATAAGTGTGTGTGTGTGTGTGTGTGTGTGTGTGTGTGTGTGTGTGTGTGTGTGTGTGGTGTGTGTGCGTGCGTGCGTGCGTGCGTGCGTGCGTGCGTGCGTGCGTGTCAACGGGGCTCCTAGGCACGTCCATGCCAACAGCATATATCATCTACTTAACCGCAGTGCTTGTCACGCAAAGACGCCCTTTTTTGTTTTAATGCATTTCGTACCACAGACGTAGCCAGTCATTTACATCACTAACCATCGTATACACGCAGTCTCCCGTCCTCCATGCCGAGGGGGAGAGAGATCTTCCCTAAGTCCAAGCGGTTGGGCACCATTCCTTCCCCTCCGTCCCATCCCAAATCCTTATCCTGACCCCTTTCCCAGTGCTATATAGTCGTAATGGCTCAGCGCTTTCCCTCTGATTGTTCCTTCTCTAAGTGAGTGATTGCAGTGCTTTTAGTGTTTATTAATAGGGTGGTTGAGGGCTGTTGTGGCGTGCTAGTAGGACGCTGAGAGCGGGTACCAACTTTCACCAGTACTTAGTCATCATGTGATAGTCTTCTATATGATATCTTCTTATGTGGGGTGTTGCTTGGCTCATGTTGCTTGTTGTGTGGCCCGCTTCATATGTGGGTGTTGCTTGGTGTGTGGCCCGCTTCTTATGTGGGGTGTTGCTTGGCTCATGTTGCTTGTTGTGTGGCCCGCTTCATATGTGGGTGTTGCTTGGTGTGTGGCCCGCTTCTTATGTGGGGTGTTGCTTGGCTCATGTTGCTTGTTGTGTGGCCCGCTTCATATGTGGGTGTTGCTTGGTGTGTGGCCCGCTTCTTATGTGGGGTGTTGCTTGGCTCATGTTGCTTGTTGTGTGGCCCGCTTCATATGTGGGTGTTGCTTGGTGTGTGGCCCGCTTCTTATGTGGGGTGTTGCTTGGCTCATGTTGCTTGTTGTGTGGCCCGCCTTCATATGTGGGTGTGCTTGGTGTGTGGCCGCTTCTTATGTGGGGTGTTGCTTGGCTCATGTGCTTGTTGTGTGGCCGCTTCTTATGTGGGGTGTTGCTTGGCTCATGTTGCTTGTTGTGTGGCCCGCTTCTTATGTGGGGTGTTGCTTGGCTCATGTTGCTTGTTGTGTGGCCCGCTTCTTATGTGGGGTGTTGCTTGTTGTGTGGCCCGCTTCATATGTGGGTGTTGCTTGGTGTGTGGCCCGCTTCTTATGTGGGGTGTTGCTTGGCTCATGTTGCTTGTTTGTATGTGAATCTATAATGAAAATGTTATCCTACACTTTATTATTCTTAACTTGCGGTGTTCTCGTTTGTAAGAGTTGCCCGCGTCTCTTGTGTTTACACTTGAGCAACACGCTGGGTTAGTGTGTGTGTGTGTGGTTGGGTGTGGTGTGTGTATGTGGGTGGGTGTGCGTGGGTGTGTGTGTGTGTGTATGTGGGTGGGTGTGCGTGGGTGTGTGTGTGTGTGTATGTGGGTGGGTGTGCGTGGGTGTGTGTGTGTGTGTGTGTGTGTGTGTGTGTGTGTGTGTGTGTGTGTGTGTGTGTGTGTGGTGTGTGTGTGTGTGTGTGTGTGTGTGGTTGGGTGTGTGTGTGTGTATGTGGGTGGGTGTGCGTGTGTGTGTGTGTGTGTGTGTGTGTGTGTGTGTGGGGGGTGTGTGTGTGTGTGTGTGTGTGTGTGTGTGTGTGTGTGTGTGTGTGTGTGTGTGTGTGTGTGTGTGTGTGTGTGTGTGTGTGTATTCACCTAGTTGTATTCATTTAGTTGTGTTTTGCGGGGTTGAGCTTTGCTCTTTCGGCCCGCCTCTCAATTGTCTATCAACTGTTTACTATTTTTTTTCTACACCACACACACACCCCAGGAAAAACTTTGCCCATTTGTTTCTGCCTGGTGCGGGAATCGAACCCGCGCCATAGAATTACGAGTCCTGCGCGCTATCAACCAGGCTACCAGGCCCCCCTGGTAGTGTAATTACCTAAGTGTAGTTACAGGATGAGAGCTACACTCGTGGTGTCCCGTCTTCCAGCACTCTTTGTCATATAATGCTTTGAAACTACTGTGTGTGTGTGTGTGTGTGTGTGTGTGTGTGTGTGTGTGTGTGTGTGTGTGTGTGTGTGTGTGTGGTGTGTGTGTGTGTGTGTGTGTGTTCATCTAGTTCTCACCTGGTTGTGAAGTAACTTTTTCTCGTTTTTCTTATCTTATTTACTTTTAATACTGTGTGTATCGAATTGATTTCGATAACTTTATCATGTCGTCCGTTCCGTTCCTCGACAGCTCTTTGTCTAAGAAACGTTCTTCATGACGGCTCTGAGACTCATCTGTGATTCCAGTTTCTTATTATATTCCTTCGTTCTAATTTGCTTCACTTTGAACATTGTACATCTACTTTGCCAATTCTCCTTGGTATCTTGTAGGTCGTTAACATGTCTACCCTATTGCTTCTTTCTTCCTGTGTCGTGAGTTCCAGTTCCGCCAGTCTTTCTTCATAGCTCAGTCCCCTTAGCTCAGGAACGAGCCTTGTTGTATATTTTTGGACTTTCTTAGACACAATACAAAACCGTTTTCTAGTTTCATATTGTGTTTCTCTTTGTCTAAGTTTCTTAAGGATAACCTTACGTTTGTTAGTGTGGCATATGCTACCGT